GTTGTAGTGATTGTGGGATTTCTCCTTCAAAGTTGTTACAAGAGAGATCAATGGACATATCTATGGTTAAAATACGATCGTACTCTGTTTTGACACCTTTGTGTGTTAATGTCATTGAGTATGCCCAATTTAATTCGAAATGTTCGGAGGATATATTTGATTCCATAACAGATGAAACACCAAGATGATTGGAGCTCATGGCTTGCCATGTTTGGAAGTGGTTTTGGTGCAACTGACCACTGAAATTGTTGTTAGAAAGGTCTATGATCCGTAACTTAGGGAACTGTAAGGAAACCGCTGTGGAACCTTGAATTGGACCATAAAATTTGTTGGACCGCAAAACCAGAACTTGTAGCTCCACAAGACTTCCCAACCAAGAAGGAAAGGCGTCATGAAAAGAGTTATCTTCAAGAGAGAGAATCTCTAAATTAATACAATTTGTCAATGATCTTGGCAGCTGACCCGTAAATCTATTTTCGCTCAATTTAAGTGCTGTCAACAGGCATCCCGGATTAAAAGAATTCATGATTTTGCTATGGAAGTTATTTCGTCCCAGATTCAAAGACGTCAACGAATTGCTTAAGATGCCCAAACATGAAGGAAGTGTTCCGCTCATGTTGTTAAAAGACAAATCTAATATTTGAAGAGATTTCAGTTCACATATCGATGGTGGTATTTCTCCTGTCAGATTATTATGTGATACTAGATAAACAACTGTGGTTTGTGGTGGAATTGGTAGTTGTCCTCGTACCTGATTACCCTCAAAAGATAATACTTGTAAATTTGTCCATGGGAGAAAATGAGGATGCTGATCAAAGCCAGTGATGGAGTTGACTGAAAGGTTAATCAACTCTAATGTTTCCCGGCTGTTGTTCCAGATCCACACCGGCACCAGGCCATCAATGTTGTTGTGGTCAAGATGTAAGGAGGTCAATTTATTTTGGAAGCGCAAAAAGGCAGGAAATTCCTTCAAATTGCATGATGACAGTCCTAACTGACCCAGTTCTGGTAAAGTGGTATTGGTGTAGTTGTTGGTGGTTACTAATGATATCATGTTATAATCTAACGAGAGTGTTTGGAGTTTGTTGAGTCCTAGGAACATGTCGAGTTCTACCCTACCACTGAAATTGTTTTCACCAAGGTCAAGATACTCGAGATTTTTGAAGCTGGAAAATGTGTTTGGAATTGGTCCTTGCAATTGATTATTAGAAAGAGATAAATCTGTTAGTTGGGTGTGGTTGAACAGCCAGGTTGGTATACGACCAGTAAGAGAATTTTTCTCCATAACTAACACTTTAAGTTTTGTTAGGTTGGCAAGAAAGAGTGGGATGTCAGCGCTTATGTTCATATCAGACAGATATAGTTCACTAAGTTTACTCAGCTTTCCAAGCCAATTCGGAAGGCCTCTTTTCTCAAATTTGTTACCATTAAGTTCCAAAACATTGAGTTTCGAAAGACTTACCAATGAAGGAACTGAACCTGTGAAATTATTGCGACCAAGATCCAAGAAAGTGAGTTGCGTCAAGTTAGAGAGTGAACGTGGAATGCTCCCCACAAAATAGCAATCATTAAGGGACAAAAATGTCAAATGCTTGAGGTGGCTTATGGATTCTGGTAGGATCCCAAAGAAACCTGTGGAATCTAGTAGCACTTTTTCTAGTAAGCTGTTGCCATGAAATTCTGGAAAGGAACCAGTGAGGTCGGTATTGTATGCCAAAATAAGAACTTGCAACTTAGGTAACTCAAGTATGGCAGCAGGGAATTCATTCTGCAGGGAACACTCTGTTAGTTTGATTGATCTCAAGGAAGAAAAGTTTGCCAAGAAATGAGGTACAGAGGAACTTATGTCCACCCCGGAAAGATGGAGTTCTTCAAGTCCTGTTAAGTTTTGCACCAGCTTCTTCAGGCTAGGACTATAAAGCTTTAGTGGATTCCTTGACAGATCTAAAGAAGACAACTGAAACAGCTGCGAGATTTCATTCGGGATTTGGCCACTAAACCCAGAATAAGAGAGATCGAGGCTTCTTAATTGCTTTAGATGACCAATCTCAGATGGGATTTGAGATTCACGAAAGTCGTTCCTGGAAAGCTTGAGTCTCTGAAGATGAACAAGGTTGAAGAGGGTGCTGCTGGAGTTGATATGCCCACAAAGAGACCTCTTGCTCAAGTCAAGACCGATCACATGACCATAGTACTGATCATGGTCATGGCTGCATGCCACCCCCTCCCATGAACAACAATCAAAACTATTGTTCCAAGAGTGGAACACTTGAGAGCCATGAGCAGCACAAGCAGCATCATCTTGATGAATTATGCTCTGCTTAAACTGAAACAAGGCTGAGCATTCTTCATCATGGCTTACTGATGATCCAGTCACATTCACTGTCACCAACACATATAGAAAGGAGATGGTTTGCAAGAACTTTAAGTGATTCATGTATGGAGCCATGAATAAAAAAGGGGTTTTATTTTATAGTAGTTTATGGACATGCAATTCTCATTATATATAGGCCAATAACCGGGTCGGTGAAGGGGAATCAATAAAAGTTATAGCTGAAAAATCAACTAATAGAGCAAAAGGAAGAAGACTGAGATTTAAAAAAAAAAAAAAAAAAAAAAAAAAAAAAAAAAAAAAAAAAAACCGCAGTAAAAATTTAAAAAAAAAAAAAAAAAAAAAATCCTTTAATGGTTCCATATGTTTTCTTCTTGGATATTTTTTTAAAAATCGCTAACTCAACGTCTTTAATGGTCATCATATGTTTTTTTTTTTTTTTAAAAATCATTAACTATTGCATTGGTTAAATGTTATTTAGTGGTAAATTCAATTATTTTGTTATGAAAATGAGTGGATTTGGGTTATGATTTATTGGTAACGGGTGAAATGTGTCCAATAAAAATAATCTGTCGAGATGAAAATTGTCAAACAAATGTAGTAGAAAATCGTTTGAACTTGAAGTGTATATAGATTCTTGTAATATCTTAAACTTTTTAATATAGAAAAATAGATTATTATAAGAATAATATAATTTGATGATCATATTGAATATTTTAATTACTAAATACTTTAAAATAAATTAAGGACATAAAAGATTGACAGGTCACTATGATCCATTTCAACAAGAATGGAAATTGACCTATTTTAATTTGTTACTCAACGTTTTTTAAATCATCGTAAAAATGTTTTTTTAAAGAATATTACTTATTAAAAGTAGATTAAATACATTTCTATGATTATAGAAATTATTAATTATCCATAATTTAATTACATCATAAAATTCTTTTTATACCCTTATGGAATTAGTGTTCTACAATTGTTCTCGTATTCTCAACCTTTTATATGTTTTTATTTGACCCTCTACAATTGTATAATTCTTTAAGCATGTTAATTATAAAAA